AAACACTGGAACAAATTGCCTAGGGAGGTTGTGGAATCTCCGTCTCTGGAGATATTTAAGAGTAGGTTAGATAAATGTCTATCAGGGATGGTCTAGACAGTATTTGGTCCTGCCATGCGGGCAGGGGACTGGACTCGATGACCTCTCGAGGTCCCTTCCAGTCCTATAATCTATGATTCTATGATCAACCAGAGTAGAGACCCAGGAAGTTATGGGCCCAAGTAATAAACTGCAAGCACCCCTCACTAAAGCACTGAGGATCAAGGTCTGTTATTATGTGTCTATACAGCCCACGACAGTGAGTCTCCCAGCCTGGGTCGACAGATTTGGTCTTGCGCTACCACGCTAAAAGTAGTTGCGTAGACATTGCAGCTTGGGCTGTAGGTTGGGCTCTGAAGCCTAGGGATGGGGGTGGGCATCAGAGCCCAAGCTCCAGCCTGAGCTGCATCTTCAAAGCACTGTCTACACAGCTAGTGTTAGTATGGCACCATGAGGCCAAGTCTGTCAATCCGGGCTGGGAGGCTTGCTGGCACAGGGCTGTGTGGACATACCATTATAGATTTCCTGCCTCTACAGCAAGGTTATGTCTTAAAGCTCATCTTTCTTCCTGGCTCTGCCACCATGGCAGAATGACTATCACACTGAGGATAGGAGAGATTACCATAAAACTGAAACAACTTAATCCCTAAATACTTGTAAACAGAAAAACTAACTCTACCTATTACTATGCTTAGTTGACTGTTTACAATAAAAACTAATTCTTGACCAAGGAGAAATAACAAAGGAAAATGACCAAAGGACTGAAAGTCAAGGATTTCTAATTTGCTGCCTTGGAGACTGGAAGGAACAGAAGGCATGGCTCCTTCTAAAGCCCCACCTCAAACTTTTCATAGCTCAAGGTGAAGTCTGCATGGCCCCCAAAGAACAAAGCTTTCCGGAGGGTTCTGGGAATAGTATGGAACATGCAGGTACATCACAAGAGTGTGTATCGCTGACAATATTAGAAGGGAAAGGTCTTTTAAAAAACTTAGCTTGGAACTGACAGCATGGTTTTATCAAAGGGTACGTCTACACTACCTACTGGATCGGTGGGTAGTGATCAATCTATCGGGGATTGATTTATCGCGTCTAGTGTAGACGCGATAAATCGATCCCTGATCGCTCTGCCCTCGACTCCTGTATTCCACTGTGGCGAGAGGCGGAAGCAAAGTCGACGGGGGGACGGCGGCAGTCGCCCCTGCGCCATGAGGATGCGAGATAAGTCAACCTAAGATACATCAACTTCAGCTACGCTATTCTCGTAGCTGAAGTTGCGTATCTTAGGTCGATCCTCCCCCCCAGTGTAGACCGGGCCAAAGTTATAGTTGATGAACTCTCACTGTATCATAATAATGTGCAGACTGTGTAATATACTGATTTGAGTGTATGCTTACCATTGCCTACCACTGCTAAATGGCACTTTCCCCAAGACCTTTTCTGTCTTGTTTTAAAACATGGTAGCTGCCTATTTACCATAGGTAGCCTATACCAAAGGTATTTTGTACCGCTTTTCCAAAGCCTCTATATGAAAATCTCCTTTTTATTCAGAGTTCTGAATCAATAAAGAAATAAGTGATTCAGAACTGAGGGCACTTAAGGGCCTAGCCCTGCAACTGCTTGCTTGAAAAGCACTTACTGTTGCATGTAGTTTCCTACACATCACAAGCACTATTTACCATAGTAAGCACTATACCTGGCAGTAAGCATCTGCAGAATTAGAGTCCAGGGGTTTGAACGACAGTGCACACCAAAATGCTGTGCTGTAACTGCCCCCATGTGAATGCTTTGGGTACAAACTAAATGACTCCTACTTTGCGTTAATATAGTCCTCTTCAAACAGGACTACTTGAATGTACAATAAGAGTATAGCAGTAGGAATATACTATCAACCACCTGACCAGGGTGGTGAAGGTCACTGTAAAATGCTCAGGGAGATTAGAGAACCTACAAACCCAGAAAATCCCTTCCAGGTGGCAATGAAGGACCTGTATACTTATCATACTGCAACATTACAGGGCAAATTAGATGAGAGAGGAGGGGCACTTTTACCTGGAAGCCAATTTTTGACATTGCTATTAATTATTAAATCATGTTTATTATGGTAATGACTGAGGGCCAACCAAGAATTCTGACACAACAAATCCTGCATCTTGGCAGAGGGTTAGACTAAATGACTCTTGTTGTCCCTTGTAACCCTATGATTCTGATTCTATAATGGGGCCCCATTGTGCTAAGCGCTGTCCATCCCCAAAAGAGCTTGCAATCTACTGGTTTCTTATGAATGTAGTCAGCATTCATTCAACTATCCCGACCTGCCTTTAAAGATGACCTGCAACGGATTTTTTAAAAAAGGACTTATATGCCCCCGTTTGCCTCATCATGACATATAAAGAAGGCCTGAAATGTTTTTTTGTTTTTGTTTTTATTTTAAAAAGAGGTTCTCCTCCTGCCCTCCGCTTGCTTGTCTACCTTAGAAAGTGACAGGAATGTCAACTCTGCTCTTCCTGCATTTTCCTGGAGGATTTGCAGGAGGATCTCACAGGGAGTATATTGTTCTGACATCTTAACTGAAGGGGTGAAGGTGCTGAATCTTTAAGATATTCTTCTCTAAAATCTTAAAGATGGTGTTTTAAAAAAACACTGAACAGTATGACTGAAAATTCCTTCCTCACTCAATGGCTCAACTTTCACCCTTCTTGTCTCTTGTGATGTACTATTACACTAGCTTTCCTGGCACCAAAAGCCTCATCTAGACTAGGAAACTTGTTTTTTAAATATTGGCTAATATGATTTTATGCATCACTGCGCCATAGTCTACATGAGGTGGTAGGTGATGTTTAAAGTCATTTTAACTAACATGCTTAAAAAAATGTTCTTTTTTCCTAGTCTAGACAAGACTAGTGTCTTTCAAGCTAGAAGGTATCTGATTTTCAAGTTTAACACTAAATAAAAACCTGTTTCCTCCAGGGAAAAACTACTTTCAGACCTTCTCTATTAATAATAAAGAATCAAGCTCGCACAGGTCACAATGAAGGAATGTTCCCTGTGGCGTCCAGATTAGTTGTAAATGTTGAAGGCTGTGTGGCCCGGTGGATAGGGCATTGGAACGGGAGTCAGGAGACCTAGGTTCTATTCTCAGCTGTCACTGAGCTGCTGGGTATCCTTGGGCAAGGCATTTCACCACTCTGTGCATGTTTCCCCTCCCACCCTTTGCCTAGGTACGACAGGGCCCAGAGCTCCATTGAGAATGCTGAGGTTTGTTTTCTCTCCTTTGTAAGTCACCTTTAAGGCTCTTGTGATAAATGCCTCTTTGAAAACACTGCTTCAGAAAGCATTAATTCCCTCTTCACTGCATTTTAACTAACCCGGAACCAACTCATGTCACAGCAATGTACAGTAAAATAGACAGAAGGAATCCTTTTTTGTTAGTTGCCATCCAGTACCACCATTAGTACCACCTTCACCAATCCAGAGAAGAGTTCTCAAGCTCATATGCATCTGCCCAATCACTGAAAACAGATGTACTGACATCTCAAGAGGAAAGAGTAATTCCAAGGGAGTTGCATTGTATTTCTTAGAGATGGGGGTCCCCTAATTACTCCAGTTTCAAGCTGTAGTGATACTAGACTATCTGGACAATATTAAATACACCCTAGATGATCTTAAACCATAATGATTTTCAATTCTGACTTTATTCTCCTGATTCTCCCTGTTTTCTGATAATTGCATGTCTTCCTCACTTGATAATACAAATGATTTTTAAATCCAGTTTCTAGTTTGATATTTTAATTGTTTTCTCTTCAAAAACATGAAGTCCCATTGCTACACATCTTTTTCTTTTTTAACATGCCTAAAAATAGTAATATCATGAACTCTTTTTAAAAAAACAAAACAAAACAGTATGATATAGGCTGAGGGCAGGTCAAATAAACTTAATTGCAAGTGTAAGAGGAACGGCTTTGTAGAAATCCAAAGGAGGAGAAAAGAACTAGTGTGAATCTTAGTGATCAACTTAAAAACTCTGAAAAAGAACTAATTGTGTGTATAGACATCCTAAGCTCTATGGAGACAATAAGCATGATTTCACTTACTTGATTTCAGGAGTAACAATTTCTGCTGCTAGACTGTCTGAAGACTCCTGGCTTCCCAGTGGCATCAATCCTGTTTCAGACATAAACAAAGAAAAGGATTAACAGAAAGTACAATAATTTTTTATTATACTTTCTGTTCATCCTTTTCTTTGTTTATGTCTGAAACAGGATTGATGCCACTGGGAAGCCAGGAGTCTTCAGACAGTCTAGCAGCAGAAATTGTTACTCCTGAAATCAAGTAAGTGAAATCATGCTTATTGTCTCCATAGAGCTTAGG